ATATGAATGGGTCACAGAGGTATTCAAGCTGCAGATAAAGGATGCATCAGGCTTCCAAGAAGAGGACATAAGGGTGTGTGTGTGTGTGTGTGTGTGTGTGTGTGTGTGTGTGTGTGTGTGTGTGTGTGTGTGTGTGTGTGTGTGTGTGTGTGTGTGTGTGTGTGTGTGTGTGTGTGTGTGTGTGTGTGTCAGGTCCCATGACACAGCCAGGTCAGGACACTCCGCGTGCAGCAGTGTAGCAGCCAAATTAATAATATAGAGACAAGCAGGAGACAACGTGTTTGAATAATACAGTGTAGGACCATACCTATATAAGGCATATTTATACTTTTTATTTTTCAAAATACCAAACAGATCATGCATTTTAGCCATTCCTCATTTCGCTCAATTTAACACTGTCTTTACATGGGCTGATTCTGTGAGAACAGCACCATCTACAGGCCTGGCATATGTACTACAGCGTCTCCAGCGCTTTCGAACGGTAATGTCCGTGGCTGTCTCCTCCTGATTGGTGGAGTTGGCCCAATAGCCGTAGCGCCACTTCTGTGACGTCATAGAAGTGTTCAAATCTGGATCAGTCTGTATCAGATCCGTTGCAGCCCCTTTTTAAGAGATTTGGGTATGGAGGAAAATAGACAGGGTTGTGTTTTCTGACACGTATTCATGTATAAAAGACGTACAAAAGTGCATTTTGCATGATAGGTCACCTTTAAGCCAAATCAACGAGGCGAACCTACGGACTTGAATGAGCCGGGCAGTGTGTCGCATTTGTTTTAAAAAGGTAGCAACAAAAGCTAGCAATACGACCAACCTTAAACTGCACCTGAAACACAACCTACCCATTCCGTTTTCCCAGCCGGGAGCAAACACGGCAGCTGGAGATGGAGAGCCCCCACCTTCCCTACAGTTTGGCGCTTTTCCACTGCAGGGCCTTGCTCGGCTTAGTACGGTATGGCTAGGCCTTGTTAGGCCAGGCTCACTTAATGCTGCGTTTCCATTACAGTTTAGGAACTGGGGTAGTATTTATACTGTAGCAGGGATGGGCAACTTGGATGGTTGTGGGGGCCACATGATTTATGTACTGGCTACCAGGGGGCCGCAGATTCACTTGGAACACACACACACAAATTCCATATTTGTATGTAATTATTAACAAATATACTAAGTCTGACATCTTCATTGACATTGTACAGTCTTTCAGGGAACATCCTCTAATAAGCTCACTAAACAAATATCACTTCACAGAAATTTAATTTAATTTTTACAAGTGGCATGTTTGTATTGAACAGGTTATTTAACAGTGGAATAAAAGTATTTTAAACTATTGGAAAGCACGGAAAATGTGTGTGCGTCAAGATTAAATATTAAGATGACATAAACATGAAGTCATGAACACTAACCCAGACATTAGTTGTCTAACTTGAACCTAAGACACTTGCCTGTCTCAGCAGACACCTGTCAACCCGCACTCTGCTGTTCCTCAGCGCCGATCCCCCGCACGCTGAAATTATGATCGAAAAGCGTATAGTAATCATAGATAACACGGCAGGGTCCGTGACAGTTTGTTTTCATCTGATTTCAAATAAACAATTTTTAGAATATCAAACTGTGTGTGAGTCATGGTGTCAAGCAGGGACATAATGGGTTATAAACCTGTCTTGTTGTTGCAGATATAGCCACATTTGTGATGTTTTGAATAACTTCAAATGCAATAACTTCTCTTTACTTTGACTTTATTTAGAACTAACCCTCGGTAATATACTCAAGCAGCTGGCATTGATCAGCTTTTATCGGAAATGCTAATCAGCAGACGGACCCTTAAGGGCAATACCAAAAATAATTTGTTACAACACTTACTGCTTTGCTGTATGCAGACATATAGATAAATTATCAGATTTACCCTTTATTTGCACAATATTTCAAACAAATTGTTTCCACACCAGGGGATGTTGGTTCTTAGGGACACACATTTGATCACTACAAGATGTGGTACATGGTAAAAAATGAAGAGAAAACATAATAAACAAACCAATTTTCCGAATTACAGTTTATGGCCAATATTTCCATCCAATTCAAGAAGTAGAAGAAGAATTGGGAGGGATGAAAACCTTTTTAACGGCCACACATGCAGAGCACACAGTGAAATGTGTTCTCTGCTTTTAACCCACCCTAGTACCAGGAGTCTAGGAGCAGTGGGCAGCTATTGTACAGCGCCCAGGGAGCAATGGGAGTGGGGGGGTGGTCCTGCGCCTTGCTCAAGGCACTCAAGGCACTCCTCCCAGATACTTCATCAATATCGATGTTAAAACTGCTCATTACTAAGACATTTGCTCGTCAGAATTGCCAAGTATATCTGATTTTGAAACAATTACTCATGAAAGAGTGAGTCATATGTTGAGTCAGATTGTACTTTTTATAATGCTAATTTCTGGTTTTCAGGTACCACTTGTCCTGTGTTAACTATAACAAGTTGGACAAAACATAGTATCGGAGTTTGATTTTAATTATTCCAGCCAACCACAAGTTTGATTTAGCGAGATGATCATGGCTTGCAGCACAAGTCCACAACTACTAATCATACTGTACGTAACCTTGATGACATTATGCAAACGTTGTACGTTATAAATTACACAAAGCTTGCAGTAAGACCCAAAGAGATATGATTCATCCAAGATAAAAGTCGTCCTGCCCTAATAGCCATTCTACATGGGTTTGGGCCCATGGTGACATAAAAGTAGTGACAAATAATTAACATTTTACTCCAATAACATTATGGCGGATTGTAAAACCTGCTTTCACTCTGATTGAGGTGGGGTATATCTGCCGGACAATCTCCCTTCATTCATATCTCTCCATCTCTACGTCTCCTGTGAAAGTTGCATCTCTCACGTGGCCAAGGCAACAAGCTTTTTCTATAGGACTGTTGCCAGGGTAACATAGAGGCAAAGCAGGGCAGTGTGAAGAGGAAGGAAAACGGGAGGAGAAAGTGTAGGGAACAAGGGAGGAGAAGAGAGCAGGTGAGAAGAGAGAAATAAAGATGCTTAAAGAAGAGAAAGGACAGTATAGAGAGCTAATAATGGATAATGAGCACAGCTGATTGGAGCTGGCTGTTATATACATCCATGTTCTTGTACATGAACAGTAAAAGTAATGTAAATCGAAATTCAAAAAAGTGAAAAAATAACATAGAAAATCATCATGAATGAACACAATTAAATGATTGACTGGAAAGAAAGAAATCTCCTGTTTTACAAGCCTCAACACCACTTCCATGTAGTGAATTACATGCAGAATAGATACAAGCACTACTTAGAATTCCTTATAACCACAAAACACTATACTATATACTATACTATACTTATACTTATAACTATTGACATGTTCCAAGGGCCTCTCTCTCTCTCTCTCTCTCTCTCTCTCTCTCTCTCTCTCTCTCTCTCTCACTCACACGCACATGACAACAGCTTGTTGGAGGGTCTGACGTCATCCCATCAAATTAGCCTTTTACCACAAGGCTTAAATGTATCTTTCTAAGCCAGTTTTGCCATCTCGTTAAGTCACCACGTCGCCCATAATAGATGAAATGTGCTAAAAGGTGACCATAGAGAAATGTTTTGGATATATGTATGTTTGTTTTTTTGCTTTTCCATTGTGTTTCTGTATCTTGTGTTGCTAGAGAAAGAAATGTACAAATGTACGTTTCATTTGATTACATCACATTTTTACACACAGTGTCACAAAAAGCAGTTTGAATCAAATGCAATAAATCAATGGTTCTGTTCCTTCTCAACATGACTTTTTTTTGCTCAAAGCCTTGCATTTTCATTTTCAAGCTGTGGAGATGTAAGTAGCACTCTGAACCCCTTGTATTTCTGGCTGCCTCTGTCCTCCCAGGTAATCTGTTGGTGATAGCTTTTGTCAGTTACTTTGGGGCCAAGCTCCATCGACCAAAGATCATCGCAGTAGGTTGCGTCCTGATGTCTATTGGCACTTTCATCATCGCTCTGCCTCACTTCATCATTGGACGGTGAGTCTAAGATATGATAAACAAATTCCATCATTTTTTCAATAATATATTGCTCTACTTACTAAAGCACTGTTATTTGTCAGCCTCTCAATAATTGTTCAGCCTCTCTACTGTAGGTCGAATATTCTTGCTGTTCCAATGATGGCTTCACTTTTTACTTTTTTAAGATACTTATGAATTCTCTTTTCTGTAGGATTAACAAATGGTATCCTATAACCAAGTAGAATGAGTGTTTCACCTCTGTCAGCTGTATTTTTAACAGTTCCATTTGTATTTTGTTTACAGCTACCAATATGAAACATCTGTGCGGTGGGTAGTGAATTCAACACTGAACCCCTCTCCTTGTCCAGTGGGCTCACCGGCAGACTTAGCTCAAGATGGAAAATTGTCTCAAGTGCCAGCCACAGGTGAGCACTTATATACACATACAGACTAGTGTCCACAAGTACATTGGTCTGATTACCCTCATCTTCTTTTCTTTGCCCTCCAGCTTGTGAAGGCGACTCAAACCTGTCAATGTGGATCTATGTGCTCCTTGGAAATGTCTTGAGGGGGATTGGAGAGACACCTGTTCAGCCTCTTGGGATCTCTTATATAGATGATTTTGCTTCTGAGGAAAATGCTGCGCTATATATTGGTAAGAAAAATCTCCCCCCAGTGGAAGATACTTTAAAAGTAAACACCCTTTATCATTGATGATATTCAACGTAAGCTGCAGAATGGAATATCTTAAATAGCACCAGAAATAAGTAATAAACAGAGGTGTTTAAAAACCTTGTATTCATTCACAATTTTCTACCAGACAAGATCCTAATTCTCTCTGGAGTACCACAGGGGTCTATCCTTGGACCATTGCTTTTTAATCCGTATTTGATCCCACCAAGTAATGTCATAAAAAATCACAACAAACCCTTTCATTTATATGCAGACGAAACAAAGTTCCTAGCCTTATTGACATCCTGATATAATTGATTGCAAACTTAGATTGTTGTTGGAAAAAAATATTACATAGCTAAATATGAATAAAACAAAACATATTTTTTAATGTCCCAAAAAAAAGTCCTACATAGTCCACACAACTATCAGCAGTTTTGCTCTTTGTTTGGTAACATCCAAGTCTCACATTTAATTTGAAGTAAATTAATTAGACTGTCATTTCCGAGTAAGTCTTCTTACTCGGAAATGACAGAGTAGCTGTACACCTTACACCTAAGGGGGTAAATCCCTTAGGTGTTTTCCAAAACATTTAACTTATTAGACGCTTTTACCAAAAGCGACTTACATACACTCAATACTGTGGGCAATCCCCACAGGAGCCACTTGGGGTGAAGTGTCTTGCGAAGGGACACAACGACATGTTGACTGCAGTGGGGATGGAACCAGTGCTCTCCTGATCAGAAGATCGGCGCACAAGTGACCTCTGAGCCTGTATGTTAAATGTGTTGAGTGTATCAGTTGTTAGTACAGATAGCTAGACTCCTAACCATTTTGTGTGTTGTGTGTCTCTTGTTGTGTGTTTGCTGTTTCCTAGGCTGTGTGCAGACCATTTCCGTCATTGGACCTGTGTTCGGCTACCTGTTAGGCTCCCTTTGTGCCAAAATCTATGTGGACATTGGATTTGTAAAAATGGGTGGGTTTAATCATGAGTATATGTCTAGGTCTCTTAAGGCCAGAATTTGTGGTCCGCCTAGACAGACTTGATATCCTTAACTTCTCACCATGGACTCACAAAGAGCTCATGTGAACACTGGAAACCATGTGTTTTCTTTACATCTTAGAAGCATCTCAGAGAGCGGCTTCTTCTGTGTGTTTGTATTTTAATAATCCATAGGCCGAGACACTGTAATATTAGTGACCATATTTAGTCAGATATAATCTTGTTCAAATCTGTGGTAATGAATAGTTATGTTACACTACTCTGGGGTACCCGGTGCTTCCTCGATAGGTGACAATAGTTGGACACTAGATTTATAGATAAGTGACCCCTGTGCAATAAAGAAAATACAAAAAGAGTAAGACATTGAAATTAACAATAAACAAAGATACATTAAATGTTCGCTAAATAGGTTTTCATGAATTTTTATGAATTCCTTGGACATTTGAGTAGAAGAGAGCCACTGGTAATCTTATTGGTAAAACCAAATTGAAATCAAAATGTCTGCTTCAACGATAGGTCCTTTTATTCATAAAACTGAGGCATGGTATTATCAGATATCACCTGCGTCATATGTATTCCCCAAGGACTCAGAACAGGTGTACAGGATTAGCATCAATTAGCTAATGAACAAAGTATGACGGGGGTTAGGAAGAACTAAGCTACAATCAAATAGAGTGCCGCAAACAGGAAAATAGAAAAGTAGCAGAAGAGAAGGAAAAAGTATGAAGAAACAGTTGAAAAGGGGATGTAAAGAGCCACATAATAAAGTAAACTGTAAGAACAAACAGTTAATAAAACCAATGAAAAAAAAGAACTTAAATGATAAAGAATTTAAAAAGAAAAATCCCAGCTAACCCAAGCTATCAAGTGTGCAATAATGCATGCCTGTTTGTACTTACTGACCGCTCAAACAGAACAAATGAGTAGGCTACTCACTAGAAACCTCCATGTCAGGCTTTTTATTTCAGTGTTCTGATAACCTCTGTTTTTGCATCTTTGTTTAACCATAAGTGTATCACTGAGCATTGATTACATGTCATCCTCTGTCTCCAAACACAGAAACTATCACCATCACCCCATCGGATGCCCGCTGGGTGGGGGCCTGGTGGCTGGGCTACCTCATAGCAGGGGTCATCACTCTGCTCTCTGCCATCCCATTCTGGTTTCTGCCTCGTTCCCTGCACATACCCGGTGCCCAGGGCTCAGAGAAGTGCACACCGGAGCAGACAAGTTTCATTAAAGACCCTCATAGTGGGAAGCACAAGTATCCTGCAGACCAAAATACGACTTTCATAGAGATGGCCAAAGGTAGGTATCAACCAAGAGCGATTAGTTTATCTATAATCCTGCTGATAAACAGACAGACAAACCAAAAAACAAGAAAAAAAACATAACCTATTCTACAGAGGTGATTTTAAATGTTCAGTGCTTTAGATTGACTGAATGGTCTCTTTGTTCATAAATGTTAATGGATTGACTGTTTTATAAGTGTAAAGCCCCTAAATGATTAATCGGCTGTGGAAATAAATGGCTGAAAACACTTACACTACACATTTCTACAAAGAAAATCACAGCACTTCACCATATTAATAAAATAACAATAATATACTAGTTATAGGAGCTTAAAATAGAGAAATATTTCAAGTTGATTTCAACAAAATGTTTTTAACTTGTATTATTTATATCCATGTTTACTTGCTTGAAGTCTTTTTACTGCCTTTCTTTTTGTAGCTGTATAGATTGATACAAACGGCAGGATGTGAATTGTTTTGGCTACTTGCCCACCCACACCTAAAAACATCCACAGTATTCCTAGTTCCCCAAATTCCACAGGTTACCTTTTGATTTGTTAAGTCACTACATACTTCAGCTTTCAAATCCAAAACTTAAATGATGTCCTACTGTCACACGTACCCCATGTAGTCAGAAACGTGATTCCATAGCACTTATCAGAGAGTGTTACAGTCATTTCTTACTATTACATTGAGATATTGCATATTAAACATTTTCAATATTTCGATTTCTCTGCAGACTTTATTCCATCCCTGCGAACTCTACTGGGAAACCCTGTGTACTTGATCTACCTGTGTGTGTCAATCATCCAGCTGAACTCCCTCATCGGCATGGTAACCTACAAGCCCAAGTACATCGAGCAGCACTTCAGGCAGTCGGCATCAAAGGCCAACTTTCTCATGGGTACATGAAAAGTGCTCAGCATATGAAATGAAATATCTAATGATGGTGATAACGTAAGATGAAAGTCTTTATGTTTATGTGGCCTCATCAAAGGAGGTGCCTGCATGGCCTAGACTTGCTGCATATGAAAGAGAATGCAATATTAGTGACCAGAGCAAATGACATGGGTGTAGATGAAAGACCATGCCTTCACATTGATGTCAAATGAAGGTATGAGAAAGAGACTGACAAAATAAAAAGCACGCTTCTACTTTGATCAAGGCAACTGGAATTTTGTAGTCCTGTTTCCTCCTCTGTATTAGCAAGAAGGAGAGATGATAGCCACCTTTGAAACAATAATAAATGATATACTCTGTATTTGTTTAAATCCAGATTTATTATTGAAAGCAACATTTCATTTCAGTGAGAATGTATCTAGCATGTTGCTGATTCTCTTGATCTTAGGTGTGATTAATATCCCAGCTGTGGCACTGGGGATGTTTTCTGGAGGTTTACTGATGAAGAGGCTGAAGCTGAACATCATGGGCGCAGCCAGGTTTGCCTTCGGCACATCTTTGATCGGATACATCCTGTCGCTGTTCTTCTTTGCAATGAGCTGCGAAAATGCCAAGGTAGCCGGAGTGACACTTCCATACATCAGGTTAGTTATAATTATTTTGTATGTTGGAGTTACTGTTTTCAAAGTAAAAATATAATATTACAATTTGAGCAACAACACAAATTAATATTATTGATCTAATAGACATGTAATCAATTACCATAACTTGAATGCACTTCATGAATTTCAAATAAATAACGATTATCTGGTAAAGATACATTTTTATTTCAAGTCCCTCATGATGTCTGCCCTAATAATTCATTTCCTTTGTATTGTACTTTCTCTCACTCTCTCCTTTCCAGCTTGGATAGCGTATCTTATGATAAACACTCAGTGTTCGCAGCATGCAACTCAGACTGCTTTTGTTCAGCAAGCGACTGGGACCCAGTCTGTGGAGAGAACGGCATCACATATGTTTCTCCCTGTCTCGCTGGCTGCGCCAGCTCTTCTGGCTCAGGGAAAAACACAGTAAGTGGACAAGGTACTTAAACTGTAATACGGAAATGTCATTTCTGGTGTGAAAACCATAGTATTGTGCTGGATTCACAGCACAATATGGTACATGCCTAAACAGGAACATGATGTCTAGTCAAATACATTTTTGCTGCCATGAAGTTTTGTTTGAATATAAAGGTTACGGTCCGATCCGGGGACCATCACCACTTCTGTGTAAAGTGCAGGATTTCAAACCAAAACGAAACATTGGCTATGTTTCAAGCTTATAACTGAGAGGGTTATACATATATCACTCTATGCTTTTTTGCTTTTTAAGTTATTTACTTTCCACTTAATAAAGTGAGATTTGTTTCCAGTTAAATGTTCTTAGATCCCATAATCTAATGAGTGCTAACAAAGTAGTCACATCATCCTTATGTGCCTGGTTGGCTTTAATGTTTGATAAATACATTCCCACCACACATGTCTCTCCAGGTGTTCTCTAGCTGTAGCTGTGTCGGAGTGGCTGGGAACTTTACGGCCAGCACGGGGCAGTGCCCTGAGAAGGACGACTGTGACAGGATGTTCCCATATTTCCTGGCTCTCTCTGTCATCACTTCCTTTATCATCTCCCTTGGGGGCACACCAGGCTACATGTTTCTCATAAGGTCAGATTTCAATTGTAAAAATATAAGGAAAATGAATAATTATCACTACCCTGCTACGAAGAATCTTATAAGCCTCAATGCTAGTACATCAATTACTTCACTTTTTGTCTGTTTTGAAAATGTAATAAGGATTTTCACCAGATTCTTGACATGTTAACTAGGGGATACTAATTGTTTTCTCTTTTTATTTGTTCTGGTTAGACCATATTATATGTCAACATTGTGTTGTCATTAAATGTTATGCTGATGACAAACAGATGTATGGCCCCAGTAATACTGTTGACCTCAATACACTGTGTTCTTTACACAGTGAACATTTTCCTTTATTGAACTCCACCAAAACAGAAGTTCTTGTTATTCAATCATTCATTATCATAGTAGACTATGTCAAAGATATTATGAGAAAAGCAATTATATAGTACCTAGACAAATATGAAAAAAGTAATAGTATAGTGTGTCAAAAATATCATGGAAAATGTCAGACTACAGTTTCTCAAAAAAATATATAATAAATGTCACAATGTAGTATTTAGAAATTATCATGAAAAAAAGTTGAAAATGTGCAAAAATAAGTCAGTGCAGTATGTCAAAGATGTGCAAAAGCATCGTAACATAGTCTGTGTAAAATGACAGTGGTCAGTGGAAAGTTCAAAGAATAATATGTCGATTATATAATGACATCATAGTCTTTCCAAAAATCATGAAGATATGTGGGAAAAAAATTGAGAAAAGTCATGTTATATTCTGTCACAAACATCATGAAAAATCACAGTATGACTAGAATGTATGGATATTAGGCATTGCTTTCTACAAACGAAGGACCTGTTGACCTCTTGAGTTAGACAAAAATCTAGAATTCAGTTATTTTACAACCCAGTTCAAACGCTGCAACGAAGATGGGAGGCAAGAAGACTTGTCATGTTACAGAAAGTATATTTATTTACAAGATTAATTAAGAGCCAGCAAGCAGCGAACACAGACAGAGACCCCTAGTGGAGGGGAGGGGGTTGTAACAGTTGGCAACAGGTGTTTTAATTATATGATATGATATTAATGATCTTCTGGCTCCGTACATGTGCGCTTAGTTAAGGGGTTTGAGAATACCTGGAATAGTAGGGCCCGAAAATAGGATCATAATAAAATAAATAATGAAATCATAATATAAAATGGCATTAATATGGCACAAAGCATGTGTCATAGTTTGCCATTTAAGAAACATAGTAAGACATTGTATGAATACAGAAAGGCACAGTAAATGTCATGAAATATAGTGCTGTATTCCAAAACTATTTCATAAAAATGTCATAGTATAGTATGTCACAAAAAGTTCATAAAGCAATGCTTTTGCTGTTGGCTAAAGCTATCGATAACGATACACACATCTGTAGTTTACTATGGATGTGAGATCAACAATAAATGTTTTCTTTATGTGTGCACTGTTACTGTGCTGCCATCAATCCTACACTGGTCCCCTACATAGTCACCAAAACTTGAGATCCCCTGGACAAGAAGATAGATTCTTCTGCAACACAGCCCTCACTGCTGGTTAACACTCCACTCAACACAGAGACACTGTTCCCTTCATATGACATGCACACACTCTTACACACACTTACACAATTTCCTTAAGCCATATCATCTGATCCTGTTGAACTGCACTGACCTCACTGAACATACATTGTTGTTAATATCATGTGTACTTTCAACCCAGTGCCAAACAATGAATGTATCCCTTCATGATGAAATAGTGATGCAACATGCATGGTTTATATTCTTAGGGTGTCCGAAATTGAGGTTTCTACTCTTTTCATTAAAATTATTAAGAGTAAGACAGGTTACTGAGTTAATCTATAATGGGCTGTTTTTTTCTAAATAGTCTACCATTTTTTTTGATGCAGGTGCATCCAACCACAGCTGAAATCCCTGGCGTTAGGTTTCCACGCTATGGCAACTCGTACCCTAGGTAAGTCCGCTTAAAATACATCCTCTCTTGAGCTGGTCTAAGATGCAAACCATGAAAATGTGTTAGCATCGGTTTGAATCCTTATTCCATCTTTCTTCACAATCTTTCCTGCTCACAGCGGGGATCCCAGCACCGATCTACTTTGGAGCAATCATTGACACCACATGTCTTAAATGGGGTCAGAAGAGGTGTGGAGGCTTAGGAGCCTGTCGGATCTACAACACCACTGCATACAGGTAGTACACTCAGTTGAAGTTCTGCGATTCTTTTATTGTATGTATTCTATTTTCCAGAGACTTTTTATATTATTTTGCAAAGAAAAACAACATGACATTTTAAACTGATTCGGACCAAAACAAAAACACTGAGCCCCTTGATATTGCCAAGATGGAAAATGATGAACCAACTTTGAAATTATAGAAACTGTGTTGCAATGCTTGTTTCGCTTTAAAAATCATTAAAAGGAGACAATCCTTATAATTCCAGAAAGGTCCTAAGAAGTGTCACGTTTTTATTTTGCTTCAGTAAGTAATCATGTGATGTGTACATCTTAACTTCTCAGGGTAGCATACCTGGGTCTGACTCTGAGCCTACGGTCTATCTCCTTCATTATTTGCATCCCGGGCTTCATTCTGCTCAGTCGGCAGCTGAGGAAGGAGGAAAGAAATGCCGTCCATGGAGCACTGGCTAACGGCGGAACAGAGCTGGAAGAACTCAGGAAGGAAGAGTTTGTTGTTTCTAATTCTGACCAATCACAACAAACGGCAGACAACGGCACAGACAGGGAGACACGGCTGTGACAGAACTGACCCGACTTGTCTCTCACACACACACACACACACACACACACACACACATGTATTTTAGAATACATTTAAACCTACAGTATGTACAGTGATACTGTACACATGCACGTACATTTAAATGAGATTTGCAGGGAATCACATGCTGTATCCAATCATCTCATATAAAGCATAAATTATATATTTATACTACTACTGGGCATATGAAGGCTTTGTGAATTTGACAGAAACTTTGATATAACTTCAATATTTCTTGAATGTACTGTATATGCTGATATTATTTTTCTTATAAAGAAGAGTAAACTATATCTTTTTGGTTTCAATGGTAGCACAAGATAGATGGGACATGTGATTTGTACAGACTACTACAAAAAACAGTTTGATCCTGAAGACCAGCACTGTTTTTATTCCTGTCATCACTCGTCGTGGACAGAGGAGGATAAGTGGCCTTATAAACTAGAGGCACTACACCAAATTCAAACAGAGAGGATGAAATAAGGCCTTAAAAAAACAGGAACTGATGATTTCAAACAGGTTGTTATATGAGGGAATGGAAATATGTATTTCAATAACGTTCAGAAGGCTTGTCTGATGTTGTTTTGACGTGTGCCTCATTCACTCAACAGTTACCTCTCTAAATCATGTCTCACATCTTAAACATATCTGAATGCCATTTCATTTGACTTTACACTCACTTAGAAAAAAAGTTAAGTCTTAAACTGTAGTCATTTACTTTAGGCCAACGTGTAATTGTATTGCAGTTTGTGTTGTGCGCTTTTTGGATGTGAACTTGTTCCATTGGTACTCACACGCTAAACATGGAAATTGTATTTTTGTGAGTTTTGCTTATCCGTTTGTCTAATGGATGCTCCTCCATTTTGCTTTTAAACAACACCAGCCCTAATTGACTCATTTCTAAATCTGGTATTGAAAAGAATAAACAGTACACAACAGTCTGTCACAACGCTGATAGCTAGGATTAGATAGAATTTGCTCAGAATATCTCTCTCACTTTTGCAGGCAGTCTTTTTGAACAGCCATTTTGTTTAAACCGCTGGTTGAGGTCAATGCTTACTAGTGTCTGCCATGTGATGTGCCTTAGAAGAGGCAGAATGTGTACTGTTAGAACATTAATGAAAATATATATAAAGATATACTGTATGTTGTTTTAATCTTTAGGCAAAATATTCCTCCGTGTGTGACCACAGGAAATGCCCATTTATGTTTCTGCTGTGAAAAAAGCCATTGCTATACATTATGTTTCACTGATCAGTCTGTCTTTAGGAGACATTTGTTTTTTCTTGTGTATTTTTCTTGTGCCAAAACCCACACATATAAATATCATGGTCTATTCTCAGGTTTTTCTAACAATTCTGTTTTCATAAACAGCTTTATCCCATAATTAGAAACCTATTTTCTTGAAATCCGTCAAAAATCGCCTTGTATCTCATGACAATTGTTTAGTATGTACATTTATAGCATATTATCATTTTGTAAGACTTTATTTCCACAATGGAGACGTATCATTTTGTTAACATTATGTGATATTGTCTTAAACATTCAGGTTTAAGTTTCAGGCACAGGTGGCCACTAGTACAGACTCAGAGAGACGTGTGTAGAGGAAGGAAGTAGCTATCAATCTCAGTGATGCATTTACTTGCATCAAAATAAATCAGAATATAAATAGTTTTCTGGATTATTTTTGTAACATTTAAAAGAATATCTTAAATGTCATACTAAAATAAAACTTTTAATATCCAATGTGTGTTGGTGTTATTCATTTGAAACAAGGCACAACATAAAGAAAATTATCTTTATTTAACAAAGTGAACATTTACCTTAAAAGGCACTTTCGTCTGATTTCCGAAGAAATGTCCAAACTCAACTTAAAGGCATGTAAGCAACTTTTATAAGCCCAACATCCTTATTTATTTATAAAAAAAACGCTGGGGAACATTAAGCATCTGTTGACAACAATATCAGTTTCAAGGCTCTTTCTGGATAAAGGTGATATAACAAAAAACATACAGCCCCTTTCAGGAAGCACACAGTAACTCCCCTGGTGCAACTCTCACACTATTACACGCATGAAACACACAGTGCAGAAAATACACAACAAAATGGAGGGTTCAAGTTAAGACGAGTAAACCCTCAGTTAGATCATAAGGTTTCTATCCCTACAGATACACAGTTTCATCCACAGATCTATTACGTCAGATTTTCTTCAAGTCAAGTCTACAACTTTAAACTAAGTAAGAAACCAAAAGAATAACAAACGTATTTACTGGATGTTGGAAATCTCAAACCATAATCCTACACACCACTACTTATGTTTAAAAGTACATATCATCAACTGGAATAAAGCAAAAATTAGTGAAGTGCAACTGTACATGCAAAATATATTTGCACAGCCATGCGAGCACTGACGGACGTTGCATAATGCTGTTAAAGTGGCAGGTGTTCCTGCTACAGTAACAAAAAAGCAAATCCTCAGTATCAAAATACATTCATAGCTGTCACTGCTCAAGCTTTCAATAAATGATGGACTCTACGCTGTGCCCTTTGCAAAACTAATGCCAGGAACCATAAAACAGCCCTACACAATTCTTTAACATATGAAGTGCTCTGTGCTCACTGGCTAAACTCTCCAATTACAGCCCCTCGAGTGATGAATAGAAAAAAAAAGCAATTCTCTAGATCAAAGCGCACCAATCAGAAACAGGACACCATCAACATTACTCCAAATAAACCATCAAAGCTAATCTGATGTCCTGATAAAAAAAAGGTAACTCCATGCTTTAAAAACGTTACTGTGATCAGCAAAAGGCTTTACCTCAGAGTGGCACATTGTGGTATTGTGATATGCACTCTGACACAGGGTGTTATATGAAGGTAAAGCACCTGTTGCAGTGGCTCTGTCCTGATTGGGTTAAAGTCAACCTTAAAAAAGGACTTTACGATAACTAGTCGTCCTTTTTGTCTTCACCATCTTCAAGATTCTGGAATGAAAATGAAAGAAAATGCCAGTTAAAGTGATATAACATTATGTAAAGCAACATTAATCGGTACCACTTTATAATAAGACTACCCTTATAAAGGGTTTACGAATACTTTGTAATTCATTTATTAATTAGGTTGTGAATACTTTATAAATCATTAATAAGCTTTTATAAGACACGAGATAAACAGGGCAACTGTGACCGG